TCAGGTATAAGTTTTATCACAACTGTTATGCCACACATAAGTGGAGATAACAATGTATAAACAGTGCACACAATGCTAATGCTAGCGCCTTGGGCTGGGTGGCTAAGATCAGGGACATGTCAGTCCTGTTTCAAATGAAAATGAAAACACTGCAGACACTCAGTCGCCTCCAGCTGTCTAGGCTGTTGCATTTGAAGTAGTCCACTTTGTTTCAGAGGCAGCGAACATTTGGGGTGAGCTTTAGCCTAACTTGGACACTGATAAGGCCCGATGAGGCCTGTCTGAGGAGCCACCTGACTCGGTCAGGTGCATCAGACGGCATCAGGGTCTCCCGGCCTGTCTGCGCAACAAGCCGCAGACCAGCTGGCACTAAAGCATAAATAACTGTAATATTTTCCAAATTCCAGTGGTGCCTGATGGTCGGAGTGTACGCACGAATGAGACAAATGACTCAAGAAATTCAATGAAGCTGAACTTGGCTCATTCAAATTCCCGGCTCCACCTTAAACGGTGCAGCAGTTACATTCAAGCACCTGTGCAATTGGCAGAATATAATTGCTGCTCCATTTAAGGTGGAACGGAATATTTGAACAAAAAGCTGCCAAACAAAATGACAAATTCAGATGTGACTCAACATTGTCCCATTTTCTCCCAAAAAAGCAATACTGACATAGGTTTATTTTAGCTGTTAAAAATATCCCAGAATAAGCCACTGTTCAACTGCAAAAATAGGTTTACTTAAGCATCTAAAAGGGTTTTATTTTAAGAAAATATATGCCAATAAAATATACAAAATCATCAAATTTTAAATATACCATGATATACATTTTTATATCATACCACCCACCACTAATTCAGAATGGTTTGATGTGAAATACGCCATTGAAGAACACATGTTCACAGTGATGATAGGAACCAGACAACTGAAGCATTTGTCTCTAAAAGCTACATCACAAAGTTGTTACATGAAATGGTACGAATATGTTGCGCATATGTTGTTTTACGAGAAAAAACAAGTTTTAATATGCCAGTTCAGGGTGGAGAGGCACATAAGGGCATTATAAGGCAAAACAGTCCCCAAAGAAAACTTTATCTTAACACCTTACTTGAACTCTGCTACATAACATTGATACAACCATGACATAAACATGTCATGCATTGAGGTATCTGTCAAGTACCGGTAATGGTAACACTGTTATACTCCTGAACAAAATCTGTCATGACAAATTAAGACAGCATCTCCCATGATATGTTTATGGCATGTTTATGTTGATATTATGTGGCAGAGTTCAAGTGTTGCCAGTATTTATTCTGATTTATCATTTTATCTTTGGCAACATTATATATGAAAACTCAGAAGAGACATGTTCAAATCACTTGTTTTGGATAATAAATAAAATGGCTCTACTTGTGTTGTAGACACTGTGGCCCCTGGTTCCCATCACTCTGAATGACTTTGTTTGCATCTGAACTCAACCGAATTAAGCAGAATATCTGAAGAACTCTTAGACTTCCCCTTTAACAATTAGACCGTTCCCACACCTTTGACCAAAATTATTTATGCTTTCTGCAATCATACCTTAAATCATTGAAACACCCACAGAAACTCATCAGGATCGCTTAAGATTTGATCAGGATGCTCACAGCTTTCATCCACACATACTGAAAAGATACACAACAGGCAGCAACAGCAGAGAGAATGAGAACAAGGCCAAGGTCCTCATCAGATTTACAACACTTTGTTTTAAAGCTTAAGGACACTGCAGCTGAATACAAATCACCGAGCCAGAACAAAGAGCTGTGCGGTTAAGGTTCAAGCATGTGTGTATGTGTCAGAGAGGGGGAGGAGGTATTAGTGAAGAACATTTGGGGGTCAATGCCATTAGGGGCGCTGAACCCTCGGCTCATTACAACACACTGCAGGGTCAATCCACACAATACTAGAGCAGGCTACAGGTCACAGCCTGGGGAGAGTGCTCATTTCAACATCTCAAAGAACAATGCAGCAGCACATACAGACACAGGTTTGTTTTTATACAAAGTTAGGACATGGGATCACACATATGTGCCCTATGTATTATATATGCAGTACTGTGAAAAAAGCCATTTATTTAATATCTAGTCAAAAACTCATCTTTGAGGGAGAGGAGAAAATTAAGTTCCACTGTTGCATCAACATTGCAGATTTGGGATTTTTTGGATCGTGAGAAGCAGAAAATGAAACCAACTTCTAAGACTGAACTTGGAACTTGGAGGTGTGGAAACATATACCTGTAGATTTCTTTGGAAAACTGAAAGAAAGTCTCCTGAAAATAATGGAAGCTGTAAAGAACAGTCAAACTAAATACTCAAAGTTGATATTATATATGTATTATATGTTATTATATATCACGTTTTCTGCTTTTGTTTCCTGATGCTGGAAAATGAATAACTTGTATTGGCCTCTGAGTTTTGCACAGTACTCTATATGTAAGATTCTATATATAATAATAAGTCTCATATGTAATCAATGAATGTAAGTACCCATGTGCAGTTATATGTAATATGTACTATATACAAGTGACTTATTACATCCAAAATTGTACCAAATGGATATATATTTATCCTCTTCCCACATATATATGTATGTTAAGTACTGCTATGTATTATATACAAATCATCGGCGCAGGACAAAAACCATGCGTCTCCAAAATTGACTCAAGTGAAAGAAAACCTGTCTTACCTTTCAATGCAAGTTAATGTAAAAAGCTTTTACCCCAAGCAAATTTGGACCATTTCTATTAATCTGTTAATCATGAAAATTTCACACAATGTAAAGGGCAGCTACAGTTTTCACATCTAAAATGAAATGGAGATACAAAGACAGCAGACAGCAGTGGTATGTAAATATCTGCATGTAATAAGAATGTTTTAAGTCCAACACTAACCTTAACCTCACAAACTAATTAAGTTTTTACCACTTATTCTATTTCTGTCCTGAAAATGTATGAAAACAAATACACCCACACACCCACACACCCGCACACCTCCTCCTCCCAGAGAGGCCGCAGATGCTGGAAGGGGGGTGGGGTTATGCAAAACCAGGCAGGCACATAATTACCCAGAGACTGGGGTTTGTTTATTGGAGGGCTGCCCTGTATTACGGGGCCTCATGTTCTCATCTACAACAGAAAAGAGAGAGGAATAAACACCCTCTCTCTCTCCCTCCCCTGCTCTCTCTCTCTAATCTGCCACAGCAGACGCTGGTGGATCTAAACCCAGGCTGATTTCTGCGCTGATGGCTTTTCCAGCACTGCGAGAGATGGGTGAGAAGGAAATATTCCCCTGAATGCTGAAGGTATCAGTTATCTCCTGGCATGTGTGATAATATCATAAAAGCGGGTTTGCTGGTGAAAGAAACGGCACCTATAAACTCCATCTCCAGACTGACAGCCAGCGCTGAGATACAAAAAGGCTGAGGAGCAGACGGAGAAGGCTTAATTGTCCCTCGCACCACAATAGGTGCTTTACACATTGAGCAGAATGAGGGTGAGAGGATGTGATTTAACACTCTATAGCTCCACCTGCTGGACAACACTAAAATGCCACTAAAGGCAAACGCAGAAGCCACAGTCCAACCTGGTCCCACCTGTGAGGGCCATGTGCATGTTAAACACTGTCACATTGATTAATGGTACATTATTTAACATACATTACAAGAAAATTGACAACTAGATAAAAGAATTCCAAAAATGAGTGAGCTTAAAATGCCCCCACATGATCTTATTTATTTACTTAAGCATAATTCTCAGGAAATAAATAGATATTTTGCTGATTATTGTGTCTATGTGGGCTCACTCAAGGAGTGTAGCGATTAGTTTATATAGTCACTATTGATTCATGCATGTTTGTGTATATTCTGAGTTGCCAGTTTATTAGGTACTGTGCAAAAGACAGAGACCACCCTCCATATATTTTATGGTCAAAACAGCCATTAAGCACAAGCTACTAATTTTTCAGAAGAAATTTCTGAAGAAAAACATGGCAATCCTAACAACCCTGCACCATCAGATAAACAGCACTTAAAGCTTTCACATTTGCGATAGAGGAGAAAATTAAGCACCACTTTAGTTTCCACTCTGAAAAAAATCCACAGGTGTTTCTGTCCATCCTTCCACTGTGAGAAGACAACTCAGCACTATGAGTCGGAAAAGATGTGTAGTTGTCAAGAAGCTGTTAATGAGACACAGAAACAGACGATAGAACATCTGCAAATCAAAGAAGCTGCTTATGTTCTCAGAACAATGGACTGACCACCCCAGAGTCCAGACCACAACATCACTGAATGTGTTTTACATCACTTGGATCATGAGAAGCAAAAAATGCAACCAACTTCTAAGACTGAATTTTGGAAAAATATCCCTGCAGATTTCTTAGTAAAATTGAAAGCAAGTTTCCTAAAAGAATGGAAGCTGGAATAAAAGCAAAGTGTGGACACAATAAATACTGAAAAATCTGATACTATTTATTTAGTTTCTTATATTATTATTTAGTTGTTGAAGCTTTTGTGTAATTTTCTGTTACAAATACGAATTCTGCCCTTTTTCCTGACTGTAAAAATGTATAATTTGTACTTAAGGCTATTGTGACTCGAAATTAAATAAATAAAGGGTGGTATCTGACTTCTGACCTATAATGTACCTTGTATCTACATTTTATCAGGTACTCATCATATAGGTCCCCTCTGTATACAGACTGTAGCCCATCTATACACTTCAACACCCCTCTAGCCCATTCATCGAAGGAAAAGGGCCACTACAGGACAAACTCTGACCAGATCATTTACATAGTGGATCATTCTCAGCACAGCATAGACAGTGACACGGAAGTCTCATGGTATTGTGTTTGGCACTGGTACTAGTGTCCAGCACTGCAAGGCTTTTAAACACTGCATATACTGTGCAAAGTGGCAAACGAGCGTACGCTGTCTGGGTGTACATAGAGATGTGCATGTGTCAAACCTCTTGTGGGACTGCAGGGCGGCCGAGCGGGTGAGCAGCGTGGGCGGGTAGTGTGTGAAAAGGCTCTGAGCCTGGGTAATCAGATGCTCATACGGCAAGTCCTGAGGAATCTGAGACAGTAGGTGGTGAACACTGGCCATGTCACACTCACTGCTCTTCACCTCCCTCTCCCGATACAGCACGATCTGAAAGACAAAGACAGTGCCTGTTAAGCTGTGCTAATCACAAATAATAGTACCAATAAGTTGGAGTAGGCTTCTTAGCCTATTCCTTTATCATTTGAAAATAATAACAATACTGTACACCAAATTCATTCTAGGGTTGCAAACAAAGCTGATGACACAGTCTTATTGTTGACATCTTGTTTACTTAAAAGAAAGTGCTCTATAATCCTCTACAATATTCGGATGACACATGTGGCTATTCCAACAGATGCCAGGCACTAATTGAATTGTATGCAGTACTGTGCAGTCAGAGACCATTATTTATTTAATTTCCAGCCAAAAAGGCCATTAAATACAAGTTCATTCATGTTTCAGTGTCCAGCATTTTAACTGAAAATTACACAGAACTAAACAACTAGATATACTTAATACTAATAATTTTTAACAACTAAATATAACATCACTAAATATACATAAATGTTCAGTGTTAATGTGCCCATTCTTTACCTTTATTACAGTTTCCATTCCAAAGAAATCTGCAGGGATATTTTTTCCACACCTCCTAAGTTCAGTTTTAGAAGTTGGTTACATTTTCTGCTTCTCAAACAGATTCAGTGATATTGAGGTCTGGACTCTGGGCTGGTCAGCACATTGTTCTGAGAACACCAGCAGCTTCTTTGTTTTATTTGTCTATTTCTTTTTCTCAGTGAGGCTTCTTTACAGCTCCACATCCTTTAGACCCATAGCACTGAGTTGTCCTCTCACAGTAGAAGGATGGCTGTGGATTTTTTTAGATCTGAAGCAAGAGTGGAGCTTGATTTTCTCCTCACTCTCAAAGATGAAAGCTTTAAGTGCAGTTTACCTGATGAGGACAGTTTTGGTGGCCTATCAGGTCTTAATGACTTGAACACCAGTTTTGAAAACTTCCCTTTCTTTATGTAAGTAGATTATCTTAATATCTGGAAATCTGGAGGTCACTGAATTTTGCACAGTACTGTACGGGGCAGTATGGCCCCTACTGTTTCACTACACCATGAAATAAGAGATCACCGACTGCAGAGATGGAACTTTAAATAATGGCAGCAACAAAGTGAAAGGAACTAAGAAAGGCATATTAGTTACATGAGTCAATTAATCAAAAAAAAAGTTGATCTCTTTTATACCTTTTATAGACATCATCAGCCCTGATCCATTCGCTTCACTGACATCAGAGGTTTTCTGAAGATCATCACATGCTAATAGCCACTCATTAAGTGCTCCCATTGCACCACTATGACCGTAAGCAACACTCAACAATCTCTGCCTTTCTGGGGCACTTCAGCTTTAGCAGCACTTTGATCTCCCACTAAATGTTCTCTGGCGTACCGGCTATAGATACTACACATGGTTCCTCTCTAGAGTAACCGTCAGCCCTGCCAGTGCTGTTTTGTTGTACTTTGCAGCAAACTTGGCCTTTACAGCGTTCCAAATCTTTTTAGGAAATCATTTTCCAGAACTTTTCCAGGTACCAATTTCGGTTTTTCGTTTTTATGTGTACAGTCAGATCCCTGCCTGGTTGTTCGGTTGATTGAACTACAGAATGATTACTTGTGTATCAAATAACTTTGTCAACTTATAGTAATTCAGTCTTTAAATATCGCTGCTGCTGGAACAAAACCTCTTATCTCCATTTTCATCTTTCATTTTTTCAGTTTTTGACATGATTTGAAAATGCCTGTCAGCCTTTACATTGTGTGTAAATTTCATGATGAATGGACCAAAAGAAATGGCCCAAAATGACTTGGAAAGTATGTTTTTCCCTTCTCCTGTAAAGTGACCATTTTGGAGATACGAGGTTTTGTTCCGACAACAGTGATACGTAGCTCCACTTAGATGTCGCACCTGCTAAAGGTAAGGTGCAACATCAGCTGTTCAACTCAAAATGTAGAACTTTACAAGATAATACCTGTTTTATTTCACGTTTTACACATAATTTATTCAAATATCTGATTAGATAAACAAATACTAAGATGAGTTTGGATATCTGTACATTCAAATAACAGTTCCCATCCTTTTATCTGTTACCACCCCTTAGCACATCCATTTCAACTATACTCTTATTTTCATCGACTAAACCACTTGGTCAATGGCATAATAACCGCCTCCAAGCAGTGTCAATCGCAAGCGGTCAATCAAGAGTGCACTCAGTCTCCGTGGCCCAGTCGGAGAGGTTCCTGTTTGAGAGCCCTGCTGGTTAGCCGCCAGCACACGGGGAGTCAAAGCCCTTGGCTTCAGCAACCTAAGAGGCAGGATGAACTACATTTCCTGCCCGCTTTGTTATCAGGACTTCAAAAGGCCCTGGCCCCCACTTGGTTTGCACGTTGCTCTCTGGCAAGGGAGAGGCTTATGGAGAGACAAGAAAGAGGGCCAGTTAAAGCAATCTAGCACAAACACAGCCAACCCCCTTCATACAAACCTCTGGTGAGTTCATTAGAGATGTTTAATTAACTGGTCTCGCTACAACAAAGTGCCCTGGATTCTCACAAGAAAAGGAAACCAGTTTTCACACGCGTGCACGCTTGCCATCTTTTGCTTCCCTTTGAAACAACTTCTAGTTGTTGTGTCGATAAGCCAGCTTTCCAATGAAAAAGCATGTTTACAAACTTGGAGCCAAAAATAAGGGAAAAAAAAATCCACTACCAATAACCCAACAAACCTGCCCAAAAGATATTTACTTGACATGGATATGATTCAGTTTAGACAAGTTTGGAATCGATGCACAATAATCATTAGTGTCAATCATTTCAGGCAGCCTAATGGAGCGAAAGTAATTTATAATTGTTCCGTTCATTATGTCCAGAAAACGCTTCGACGACCTCATCAGAGAAAGCAATCAATGATTCACTAATACACTCTCACATATTCTCAGTCTAAAAAACACACACGGAAAAGGTCACTACGTGATATTCGGCATGCAGAGACAGAGAGAGATGGGGGGAGACAGAGAGAGAGAGAGAGATGGGGGGAGACAGAGAGAGATGGGGGGAGACAGAGAGAGAGAGAGAGAGATGGGGGGGCAGTTTTAATGTGACAAAAGAATCAATTCTTACCACAGCAGCGAAGTAAATGGGCATGAGCGGGTGGGAGGCCAGAAAGAAATCGTAGAGCCGCAAGACATGCCGGAAGTCAGACAGAACGTGGCCGTACCATGTGATCAGCCAACTGAGGGCGAAGATGGTGCCAACCTCAGCCCTGTATTACACATAAAAACAACAAAAAGAACCGTTAAAAGCTCCATTTCCTACATTTTTTGTTGTATTTTATTTTTTTTCACCTCATTTTTTGTGTGAGTTTGTGTACTAATAGTCATATTTCATTTTTACATGACCATTTTCCAATCACGCTTTAGCCCTTAGATTTAAACAGGCTGTTTATGCTACCATGTCCTTAAGACTGATTTACGTAAATAACCTCTGTTCAGATTGGCTGCTCTGTATTGTGCCTCATTCAAAAAGCAATCCAGGCTGAAACACTCCTAATAACTTCAATGTAAATGGGTGGAGCTAAACTGCTAAAATCTGAATAGATCGATATATGTAAATGTGCCATCACAAAAGCAATTAAAAATAGCATTTTTTGCAGCTTATATAGACTATATGGACTGAGGTGGAACAGTGTGTTTTAAAACTTTAACTCAACAAACTCCCTTGTTTTAAAGACTGAATAAAATTCAGTGTTCTGTGATATGGACCCTCTAAAGGAATACTCTGGCACTTTTAATTTAATCCCTATCGGGCACATTCATATTGTACACTATATTAAATACAACAGACAATAATTTAGATGTTTTCTTGTACTTAGAAAAGAACAGAAAACCTCCTGAATCAATAGGTTTCTGTTCTTTACTAAGTACACAGAAAACTATCAAAATCCCTGTCTGCGGTAAGTGACCATATGATACAGATGTAGCAGATGAAAACATTAGAAAAATGCTTTAACGCACACTGTTAGATTCAGTCTTTCATTGTTTACAAATACACAGGCATATGTAAAATATGCAAAAATATGTAAACATGCAAAATATGTAAAAATATGTAAACACTTCCAGTCCAATTATATGTTTTGTTGATTTTCTTGAGAAAATAAGTGAACACATCCTCTACAAGTTCCACATTTAAATTCATCTGATTTTCGTCCACAGTTCCTGTTTATTTGCTGAGTTTAAAAACAAACTCATAAACCATGTGTCCTAACTTTTGCACATGCCACCTTCTGTTTTATTTTTTCCCCCAATACATTAAATTCAGTAAATGAACATTAAATTGTACATTTAAAAGAAGTGTGTTCTCTGTAAAGGACGTGTTAACTTACTTTCACTTAGAAAATCAACAAAACATGTCATTTGAATAGGGCGACCAAACTTTTGCACATGACTGTAGATATATCTGAATGTTAAATCTATACGATGGTTCACTGTATGTCCAGATACCCATTCAACATAGTGAATTCAGGTACATTGATACTAATACAGGTGTTTAACTGCACTAAGGGCTGGCATAACTTCAATAGAAAAGCATTGACCAACAGAATGGGATGCTCTAGCAGCTGTACATGAGCCTACGGTCACCATGCCCAATGCCATGCATCAGCTAGAGACATACAAAGCCCCCTTCAGCAGTGGGCTGTGGAGAAGTGGAACTGCATTCTCTGGAATACCTTTAGGATGAGTTGGAGTGGCATTTGTGAGCCAGAACTGATCACTCAACATCAGTACCTGGCCTCACTAATGCTCCTGTGGCTGAATGCAATTAAATCCTCACAGGTATGTTCTAATATTTAGCGTAAAGCCTTCCCAGAAGAGTGAGGCTGTTACTGCAGTAAAAGGGGACAAACGTCCTATTAATACCTTTGATTTCTGAAGAAACATTGGACGAGCAGATGTCTACACTTTCGGACATACAGTTTAAGATCTTAAAGTCCAAGTCTGTCAGTTCTTCTTTACTGAATGCTGAATATGCGGACTACAATCATCAGGATAGATGTGAACTCTTTCCAATATCTTGGCTAGCAAGCCACATTAATCAGCTACTGCAGTGAGCATCATTAACCAAAAAGGTGGGCATTCACCTTGAAGCTGGATTCAAGACAATTCCATGAACGTTTTCATTTTCTCACAGCATCAGAAGGTTAACTGGTTAATTCTCTTTGCTGTTAAGTAAGATTTGTTTTTCCCATATAAAATAAGCAACATGTGCTTACAAACCAGCAGCATGGAGAAAGTGGGGAGGTTCTGTGAAGGACATTCTACATATTCAATAAATACCACACTTGTACTTCTGAGTACAAGAGATGATATTTTCTCATGATTTATGACAAATTTGATAAAAAGTTATTCCTGCATGCATAGTACAAATTGTTATGCTTTTGTAAGTTTTTGTCATCGAAATGAGCACAAAAAAGTCAGAAGTGCGGACTTGAACCAGATTTTAAACTAGAGTTCAAAAATTACTAAATGATTTAGAGAAAATGGACCACCTAAGAACTGTGTAAGACCTGGTAGACCACCAAAACAGTGACAGCACTTAAAGCTTTCATCTTTGAGAGAAAGGAGAAAATCAAGCTCCACTCGTTTCAGATCTGAAAAATTCCAGTGTTTCTGTCCATCTTTCTACTATGAGAAGACAACTCAACGCTATGGTCTGAAGTGATGTGTAGCTGTCAAGTAGCCCTTTCCTGAGAAAAGAGATATAAAAGAAAAAAAAAAAAGCATGCAAACCAAAGAAAGAACCTGCTGGTGTTCACAGAACAACCCCAGAATCCAGACCTCAGATTCACTGAACGTGTTTAGGTTTATTTGGATTGTCAGGAGTAGAAAATACAACCAAGTTCTAAGACGTGTGGAAAAATATACCTAAAACTTTCTTCGAAAAACTGAAAACAAGTCTCTGAGAAAAGTGGAAGCTGCAATAATAAAAAGTGGACATACTAAATATTGAAAGAATTCTTTTTTGTTGTTTATACTGTAATTATACGTTAATTATACTGTTTTCTACTTTGTCCTGGTGCTGAAAAATTTGCACCATGTCCAATCTGACTTGAAATTAAATAAATGAAAGGTGATCTTGACTTTTGCACAGCACAACAAACAAAATACAAATGTAATCAATTCCATAATTACACAATTAATTGTCATTATGTAATTACATATACACAATTCTGAAATATACATTGAAAAAAAATAGACTTTTAAGGGTTACAGAAGTACAAAATCAAGTTTGGAGTCTTGTTTGGTATCTGGTCTGTCTACCCTAAAGCAGAGCACACTGTTATTTTGTGTGCTGCAATGCTTGAACTGCCCTGCTGTGGCTAAGCAGCCGTGTGAGCACAGCCAATGTGTAAGAAAAACATTCTGGGCATCGCACTAAACATGGATGACCACATGAATGATGTAACTGCGGAGTCTGGTGTCTCCGTCGCCCACGTGCTCTCCTCCTTAGCCACGGTCCATCGCACTGGCCTGTGGGCTGCTCTGACGCCACTTCATCTCTGCAGTTAGCGAGCATGACCTTTCAGAGTGGCCGTCTTCTGTTGCGCAGGAATAACGGACTTTCAACATTAAATGAGAGAGACGTGTGCATGAGTGCCCAAAAACAAAGCTTAAAACAGTTCTTACAGTTACACTTAGAACACTTAGGCATCCGGAAACACGAAAGGTTGTTTTTGTCTTCTAAATAAAGACTAAGCTGTTCCTAAATGAGAAAATCTTTCCAACTGAATCCCCGCTGACAGTACATAATTTAGTCCAAGACTGGACTGTGTGTGCAGAAAAGCAGCCTAAGGAGGGGGTATTCAAGACACAGATTAATCCTGGTCTTGGACTGAAGCGCACTGTGGAAAGTCTCCACTGAAAACCATGGTTTGTGGGGAAACCCAGCCAACATATTTAGCACCACACCATGCTTCTCAATGAGTTTCTCACCATGAGTCTTGACAACAGAGTAAAAACTGTGCATTAGGGCTTCTATACTTAGTAGCACCTTTTATATTGTAGAAGAAAGCTTGGATATGAGGAAGGTATTCAGTTCTGTGAAGGACACACTCTACATATTCAATAAATACCACACTTGTACTTCTGAGTACAAGAGTTGATATTTACTCATGATTTATGACAAATTTGATAAAAAGTTATTCCTGCATGCATAGTACAAATTGTTATGCTTTTGTAAGTTTTTGTCATCGAAATACACAAAAAAGTCAGAAGTGCAGACTTGAACCAGATTTTAAACTAGAGTTCAAAAATGACTAAACGATTTAGAGAAAATGGACCACCTAAGAACTGTGTAAGACCTGGTAGACCACCAAAACAGACTTAAATTTGATGAAAGGTTATTCCTGCATGTATAGCACAACTTGCTATGCTTTTGTCATTTTTTGTCATTGAAATAAGTGCAAAAAAGTTAGAAGTGCAGACCCCAAAAAAGTTCAAAAATTACTAAAAGATTTAGAGAAAATGGAAGATCTAAGAACTGTGCCAGACTTGGCAGACCACCAAAACTGTGACAGTACATAATTTAGTCCAAAACTGGACTGTGTGTGCAGAAAAGCAGCCTATGGGGGGGCGTATTCAAGACACCAATTAATCCTGGTCTTGGACTGAAGCGCACTGTGGAAAGTCTCCACTGAAAACCATGGTTTGTGGGGAGAACCAGCCAACATCTTTAGCACCACACCATGCTTCTGAATGAGTTTCTGACCATCAGTCTTTGAAAACTATGCATATACTTAGCAGCACGCATTGTATCGTAAAACACAGCTTGTATATGAGCAAGCTATTCACTTCATTAAAACTTCGTCAAAGGGCACAATTTAGGGCCCAAGACTGAATTTTCTTCACTAAACTGAAAAAGAGTTCGATTTAGTACATTGAGACTGTTAAAGGTTTCAACATGTATCATTCAATCCTGAATCCATACAGTCCCATATTAACACTAAACTGCAATGTTTTTAATGTTTTTTTTTTTTCTGTGAAAACCAATTCTGCCCACAGCAGCTTAGCTCTGCCTATTCACACTGAAGTTATAAAGAATGTTTCTGTCCAGGTAACTTCTTGAATGAGGCACAACACAGAGTAGCCAATCATAACAGAGCTCATTTACATATATCAGTGTTAAAAGCACACTAAAGAAAACAGTCTGCTTGAATGGATGTAGAAAGCCTGCATGACAGTCGTGAAAGAATGAATTATGATTTCGGTACACAAAACCATATCAAGTTGTAAACAGATTTCAGAGAAAAATAAAATACAAGAAAATGTAGTACATTTAAACATGTAGCCACCACTTGCTCCTATCTATTACAGTAACACAGGCTGCACTGCTAAATTTGAACCAAAAAAATATGATAGTAAAAACAACAGTCAAGTGAAACATCTAAATCAAATTTTTAGAGCCATGTTTTTTTTCCTTTTCTGAGAGTTGAGAGTTGATAACAGACTATCACATTAGTTCACAAATCATAGTTTAAAGACCACATCAGAAGTTTTTGTGTGGGTTTTTGTGACATTATATCTTTTTCATTTGGTTCGGTTGGTTTCACGCTGAAATGGACGAAGTGCCAAGTTATACCAAATTATACATGCGGGTGTTCTTAACGTTCTTTGATTGTTCAGAAATTTGGCAGAGATACAAGCGCTGTTATTTTCATGTCTGCCTCCATTGAACAACCTATTTTTTATGTTGACTTTGACAGTATAAAATCCAGATCTATCACTTTCTTTTATAGTTCATAAAACATCTTGTCATACCCATCATTTTTGGAGAAAATTCACTACTGCAGCTCATGAGCCTCTGTTAAGAGACAAATGTTAAATCGATAGCAGTACAGCACTGATGTCCACTGATAAGCATGCTCTGATGCTAAATTTCCTCATTTGATGCAGTCTCACCAACAGTGAACCGAACCAGAGTTTGCTTGAAAGTGGGCCGAGACCCACAAGTTTTGGCGGACCACAGTTCTGTTGTTTGGTGCGGGCCCAAGCTCACATGGACAGTGTTTACATCTGTCAAATTACCAAATTAAACTAAATGTTTTCGATTGGTCCACACGCAACAACCCAGCTAGGACTGAAAGTGCCCTAGAACTACTGGAGTCTGTATTCTTCCCATCTGGGCCAAGTCCTCCAGACTCACTGTCATTTAATCCACTGTGTAGTGTTTCTTTTTTAGAATTATTTATTATTTATTATGTTTACTGTCTGTTTGCATTGTTGTCTGCTGCTGTTTGTGTGTAAAATTCAGCACAATGTTCTACAGAAAATCAGTTTCATCCTTCACGCATCACATGACTGTGGTAAGAAGGTATGGCAATAAAATTGACTCTAAACCCACAAAAAAATGACCATATGAAAATACATATCGGCAGTTAGCCTTGGCTATCGCAGCTTTAAGTTTCTTAAAATCCATACCTGCATTGGTCGCAAACTTTTCATATGGATGAGCTTGGAAAACAAATGGACAATGATGCAAGTAAGCATATTCCCAAAACAAGCCAGAGTGCTCTGAAGTTTTGAAAGGTCCGACTATATTGGGCCTCAGCTTGTTAAGTTTGGAAAGCGGCCTCAGCAACAGCACCTGAATGAGCTACGCCATTAAACCTGTAGACCAGCAGTACACTAGACACAGCTCCCAGGACGCACGTATACAATATTTATCAAGAGTCTATTATTCACTACATTTTAAATGACAAGCCATTAAAAATAACTTCCTTTTATATATGAGGCTGGGGAATAAGCACGCAACAGAGTCCTTTCCAGCTGACTATAACTACAGGTTTGTGCTTGTTCACATGGCACCGCACACAGACACGCATCCAACCCCACGGATACACACACTGCCCAAGATGCTTTGCATTATGCATGAAAAATCAAACGGTACAAGCCCGTTTTTGTGCATCATACACACTACAGTGGTTTAAAAGTAATGTTGCCTCACACGTATCTGACAACAGAGATAAAACAGACCAGCATTTCCCTTCAGAAACCTTAAAGAAACCTTAGAAACCTTAAAGCTAGAACTTGTGCATACACATATAAAACAACTGAACAACAAATGTACATTTTATATATTTTTACAAATTCAAACATGGGCAGGAAGTTACATAACCAGGGAGCTGCTAAAAAGCACTTTGACACTGACAAAACAGAAAGAGCACTCAATCTCTTCTAACTGGCTGACAGCTGCTTTGATATGAAACCCTGTGCTTTTCTCCAGGGAGTATGTTTTACATGTCAGTTGTGTGTCTTAGCGAGCAGATCAATTTTACACAAAATAGCAAAGTAAACAGGAAATCTGCTCCTAATTTACTGCTTCTGAAGCTCAAACTTGACCAACCATGCTGGTTCAGACAGAGCCACAGGCAAGACAAGCTGAACAGGACACAGGAGTGCACGACTTCACCATGTGTGGCTGAGGCTAAATGCCAAACTCTGCTGCCCCCTAGGGGTGAAAAAGCACACCAAACTAAAGCTTATTCACTTTGCAAGCTCATAAAAACTGATCACAACTTTTTACCAACACGTCTCCAAAGTAAGACCTTTAAATTTGTCTTATTTTACTGTTCTCATGACAGCAAAACTACATGTATAAATTTAATACCCTCAAGAGAAGAGAAACAGTTTGTAGTTCTTGCAAACATGGACCAAGGGGACCAAAAGTGCTTATTTTAGGGATCAAATTTTGGCAAATTCTTTGGACAGATAATTAATTAATTTAATTTATCATTAGTCAGCAAGCTTAGCAAGCCTAAAAACGAGGTCATAAACAAGCAAAATATGAAACACTCAGACATTAGCAGAGCCAAGTTAAAAGTTTACTTTTTCAAAAATAAAAATAAAAATAAAACAAAAAAAAAACAAACAAAACAGAACACCGAGATACAAGATATTTGCACAACAGCAATGATGATATGATTATATGACTGAAAATTAATCGTTGACAAAAAGACAGGAACATAAAATGAAAAGCAACTTCTAAAGTTTTAAAAATGCTATAATTACCACTCGTTTCTAGCCAAAGTTGAAAACTAGCAGTCACTGTCCACCACTTCCTTTTCTATAATTACTTCACACCACCACACACACTTGCTCTCTGAGAACATGAACAGAAGAGTTGTCTGTCTTGTTGCTTGTGAACGTTTGTTTTTGATACGGCACACTGTTGTAGTTGTGCCACTATTTTTAGCTTGCTTAATTTTTTTTATCAGCCCTCTCTTGTGGAACCAACTGCCTACTGCACCGTCAAACATACGATACAAAAAGGTTCCTCAACTTGAATGATACATTTATTCAGATAGGAACTGCTGTTTTTTTAATGAAAAACAAAATTAACTTTTTTTATTGTTAGCACTGGTTGGAATTATTTGTTGGTTGGTTAATCAATTACATCCACACATACTGCAGACCAGCACTCTGAATTTGAAGTAATGACTATAAGGTTATTGTGCACAATGTCAGCTTTATTCTGGGGGTATATAGGTCTACATCTAATGTGGCAGAATCACAGCTATTTTTAATTCACACTAATAGCTAAATAACAGACGAACTGTCATGTATAGCACTTAGCTGAAAATTGAAAACCTACAGATATCACCCAATGCTGATTATCGTCCCTGGCGACACTCTCCTAGACATGCAACACAGGGAGTTTCAGATTCTGCTTGTTTTCAGCTTCTTTCAGTCTTTTCTACATTCATTCTCAAAGTGGTTCAGATTAGAACATTACACTTGGTAGCACATTACTTAAACCCCATACATAAGATTGACATAACCATGCCATAAATATGCCACGTTGTCACATGAGTTGTCACAACAGATTTTGTTCAGTAAAATAACAGTATCATGTTACCATTACTGGTAATTGTCATTACAGATGTCAAAATGTTTAATGTAGTGACCGCTAACCAGAGTAAACAAAAGAAATTAGCATGTGTTATAAGCCATCATGAAATCAAGCCAACAGCATACTACTAAATGTTATTTGTTTATTAGTAAATGGATTACTGTGTAACTTTAGTCATTATCAGTGTCTCTCAAATGTAGTGGCCCCATTCAAGAAACAGTCCTCACCCTAATAAAAACAGGGCAGCAACCTAGTGTACTGGCACTGACAGTGATCTGACAAGGACATTGCTCTATTGATCTCTGCTGAAGCCTATGTAAACTTAACATAAACTATCAGTCAGCACAACTCAAACTTTACCTCAGCATGAAGTCATGTAGCTCAGGATCAACCTGCTCCAGAATAGGCATCAAGTAGTTGAGGATGTGTTTGGTACTGTCCATAGTGGGGTCCATAAAGTCCCTACACCAACACACAGCAAATAGCAAAGAGTTAGTGCTGAGATGTTGAAATATGACAAACTTCCCAGTGACAAAGAAACTCACTGGTTACTACAAACTATAGGGTAAACTTACAGGGCTGGATACAGATTAAGTCTAGTCTTGGACTAAAATGCAATACAAATAGTGCTTCATCATTAAAAATCAAATTTAGAGTATGCTGAGATTTAATATCTGGGTGATGAGGAAAGCAAAGAGCCTGCAGAAAGGCTTGTCTGGACATGTTCAACAAAACAAAAAAAACCTCTTTTTTAATTTCCTCATTGAATCAAACTAGAATATAATTTTTGTGCTAACAACAAAAGAACATAACTCAGTACAAAGTGTGTAATATATAAATATTAAATAATATATTCAGAGGCAGGAGTGTTAAAACTTGTCGAAGGACACTATGCTGACATAAAGAAAAATGGGCTGTTATCTTCAAACCTGAGGTGATGATTGGATAACGTCTCAACCATTGCTATGGCCATCCGTTCTCCTACTACCAACAGGAAGGTCACCACTATATCGTGGTAACCCTGGTAGTAGTGCAGCTGAGGGTTTCTCCTCAAAACATCCAGAATTATGTCAATCAGCTGCTCCTGCAGCACCTCCCTTTCATCAGCACGCATCCCTGACAGACAGAGATAGATGGGCAGAATTAGAAACCTGGGATTCACAAAAGCTTTTTTAAGAAAAAACTTGCGAAGGTTCTTCAGACAAACACTAACAAGTTCATAAGAATGTTCTTAAATGCAATTCTCGAAAAGAAGTCCTCAAATATTCTTAAGAACATCTTCATTGTTTTCTTATGTAGGCTATGTTGCATTCTACCATGTACCATAAACAACTCAAGATACACTCTGAATTTGTATTAACTGTCAGTTCTGTGGAAAGCAAGAGGCGGCGTCCAATGGCTTCAAACATACCACTTGCTCTTAGAATTCTAAGAAAATAGTTAAGAAGTTAATAACAATGTCTCATAACTTTTTTTTTTTTTAAGAATGAAGTTAAGAAAAAACAAACATTTAAAAAGATTTTCTTTCGTAAGACACTTTCATGAATCTGGCCCCTGTAGAAATAATAACACTCTCTCACTTCTCCTAACCAATTCCACGTTCAACTAGAGACTTAATTGAGCCTGGTATGGACTGTAAAAATCCAGCTATGTTTCTTAAATTCTGGATAATAACTTCAAGGGTTGGTTTGCTGGACAGGGATCAAGCCTAGTCTTGGAGTACATTTTCCTTTCAATGGAGAATTTCCACTGAGAATGCTGTGTAGTGCAGGACTAGGCTTAATCCCTGTCTGGGGAAAACTAACCCTAACTGTACAACTAATGTTTAAGCACAATTATTCAATAGCAATGTTTCCCTTTCTTTTGATTGCCTGATTGGGTTTGTGGTATGTTTGTGATTTGTCAAGTTTTTCCATTGCTGGTAGCTGGGTTTGTCTGGGCTGGGGGGCTCTTCGCTGCAGGGACAGGTTTTGGTTGGGCTGTGGGCAGGGGGCTTTTCACTGCAGGGACAGGATTTGGCTGGATCGCAGACTGAGACACATTTTACCATAGTGCTAAGGTCTGACTGGGCCACTGGCCAGTGCACTCTTCACTGTGGGGCGAGGTTTGGCTGTGGCATGGCCAGGGAAAGTTTCCGTGGCGGACGTGGGAAACTGTTGTCTCAGAAACATGTCCTGAGTAGGGCATATTTTTCTTTGGCCTGAAATTACATCTCAAAGTATGAACCAACAACATGCAACTTGTGAGTGTCCCAGAACTCTCTAGATGCTGCTGGTTACACAATGTCCCAAAGGCATTTCAGAGGTCAATAATTGCAATCTGGAAAAAAGGCATGACTGAAATTTTTTAACCAATGGTAGATAAAGGTTACCTCTTGGGAAACGCCGCATGGAACGCCTGACATCAAGAAGCACCTGGTTATAGTCTTTGTGGTTCTCCCTGACATTTTTAGCTATGGATAGAGAACAGGAAAAGGTACAGAAAAAGTGAGAGACAAGACATGAAAGAGAACCTCATCACAAATCTTTATGATAATGACAACTTGCTCTAACATACAGTAAGCTACTCAGGACTCACACACACTTACCAGGTTTTGGTGGCAGGTTAAACACATTGACACTGAGCAGCTTGGGCCAAACTTTTCTTCGCACATCATCTGTCAACAAGCCACCCTCACTGACAGCTGCCTGCCGCAAGGTCTCAATATCCACTGGGTCGCTGTTCAGGGCCTGGTGAATGTCCACTAGCTTCTGCTTCTTCCAGGAAACATGTTCTGCAAAAAAGAGAGTAAAATTTAAAGGCTCATGAACTTGCTTTCCAAAACTCGTGGTCATGTAGAAATACTTTAAACAGGAAGTATGGCAGTTTGGTGTGAAATGCGCCATTCTAGAGAAACTGACCAAGTCAGAACTGTTCACAGCAGCAGTGATAGGAACCAGAGATCTGAATAGTATAATGCCTTTTAAGAAAGTGAAGACAAAATGGTAACAAATATGCTGCCAGATGCCTGAGACATGTTTTACGATAGTTTTGATGTAAGATTTTGGCCTGAAAATGTATGCTTTTTTTTTAAATACACTCATGACAGAGACGCATAAGTAAGGCAAAATAGTCCCCAAAAGAAAACTAACCAACTATTTTGCCAAGATCAACATTTCATATTAAAACTCAGAACACAGGTGTACGTTCACTGGTCATTTTGGACAATAAATAAAATGAATAAACTCTCATTGTAGGCATTGAGACCCCTAGTTCCTTTCACCACCACTGTAAATAAAATCTCATAAAATAAAGTCAGTAAGTTTCTCTCCACAATGTGTGGTACTGGGAATAATTTGTGGCAACATACAGTCATAACTACCTGTAGCAGCACATTAACTCTTCTGCTGCAAATGCAAAGAATATAGATATATGCCACATTTGGCTGGCTTGGTGAAGAAGACACCTCTTACAAAGTTAGTTAGTCCATAAGACTGACATTTCAGCCATCTTTGGGTGCCAGTTTTTTTACATATTTCATATAATAGCTCTTTCCCATTCATACAGTAACGCTTTTGTGAACATCCACTCAAGCTGAAAATTTCAGGCGCCCCTGTTGGCTTGGTGGGACATAAGCGCACAAGCACGATTTGGCAGCGAATTATTGTTCATAAAGACACAAAAAGCACATATTTGTGGTCCTCTCTGAATTCTTAAATACACAGCAGCAGTTTCAGTTCTTTCTGTAATGCATTTCGTACAGGTTACACAGCTGCCGCCTCCCTGTCTTCTGTTTGCAGGGTTTCCACGTAGACGGGTGCGGACACGTCAGTACGGCTGCTAACGTTAGCGTTAACCCTGCTAGCGTTGCTGGACTAGCCAGCTAGCACCGTCTAACGTTACTCCAACACCAGAAACAGAATTAACTTCACATTAAATAACAGTGTTTTATTCCATAAGCTATTATAAACATTGACACCGCCTAAATACACGGTTAACGTCCTATCCTGCTCACCTTCGTGTCTCTGGCTACTTCCATTCACGCTTCTGGCCCCGCTCAGCGGCTGCTGGCGTTTTTTCACCTTTTTCATGTCCTTTAAGGTTCCAGTTTGCCAAAACCAAGACAGCTCATTAATATCACTACATTTAGACGCTGTATTAAAACGAAGAGAATATCTGGTACAGAGAACTACAGCTGTAATTGAGTATTGAAACAGCCGCTATCTGACACACCGCCTCTTCTCATTAGTGTCCATTAGCCTGCCTGTAAACCAAACCTGACTGCAGAAAGGGGCGCCATCTCCCACCTGATTGGTCTACCCGCGTCACAAGGCTTAACGCGATTGGCTAATTTTCCTGTCGGATACTCCGGTTGTCATGGTGAAAACAAATGAGCGCGTGCTTTTATTTACAAGCGTTTAGTTTTGCTTCACTAAACCTGACTTACTATGTCGAAATAATGACTTATTTTCTCAAATTATCGACTTAGTATGTCGAACTTATGACTTAGTATCTCGTAATAATGATTTTTTTTCCTAAAAGTATTAACTTACTATGTAGAAATGATCATCATCTCGTAATCTGTAACTGTTACTCACCATGTCAAAATAATGACTTGTGTTCTCTAATTGTTGACTAAGTGAATCAAACTAATGAATCAGTATCTCGTAATAATGATTGTTCCTCAATATACCTACTTTCTTGAAATGTAATGACTGATTATTATCAAAATCATAAGCTTTTGATAGTGTCTCAAGTTATTTTGCGATATTAAGTCAGTATTTCGAGCAAATTGGTCATTTCGAGATATTAAGTCAATTATTTCTTGAGAGAATAGTTGTTCGTTCGAGATATTAGTCAATATTTTGAGAAAATCCGATATTATTAAGCAATTTTTACGTACTGGTGTCAGAAGCAAAGGATAAAAACGTACCTGGAGGGAAAGGGGCTTCCATAAAATGCGTTAATATTCGGATATGAAATATTTGGCCGGTGGTGGGAAAGAAAAGTTTGGAAAAACAGCTCAGGAACGGAAAATGCCCCGTATAGCGATGACTTTATACATAGCATCCATAATCAACACGCGCTGTTGAGCGCGAGCGCCCTTTGGGTGTGTTCACGAGTATCAGCTGCTGTTGACTGCTGCAGACATGCTCTCCGTTTCTCTGATGGAGCGCGGTTTAGAGCCCAGTCTGGTGCTCTTTTCCCTGACTACACATCAACACCGCTCACTCCAATAAATACAGAGCCTGTATCTCTGAAAATAAGCCCACCTGCAGCATTAATCCACTGTGAGAAAGCTCAGTTTGCACCATCATATCATACAGCAGCCTGGGAGAGAGGGACACTGATAGTGCTGCACGTGAGGAGAATTCAATCGGTTGATAATCAAAAAGATTATCTCAGCATTCATACTGTTAATCATGTCTTTTAACAGTACAGATGTGGCCACATGCTGTCCAATAGAGTGGGGCACTCTGGATCAGCTGCACATGAGGTCACAATGCCCAATGCAAGGTATTGGCTAGAGGGGTACAAAGCCCCTCAGTACTGGACTGTGAAGCAGTGGAGCTGTGTTCTCTGGAGTGATGGAACCCCATCAAATACCTTTTGGATGAGTTGGAGTAATCCAGAACTGATCGTCCAACATCGGTACCTGACCTCACTAATGCTCAATCAAATCCTCACAGCAATGTTCCAACATCTTGTGTAAAGCCTTCCCAGATAAGTAGATGCTGTTACTGCAGCAGAGAGGGACAAATTCCCTGTCAGTACCCTTCATTTCAGGAGAAACGCTGGTTGAGCTGATTGTCTCAAGCTAATAACTACTAATTACTTTCTTGAAATGTTAAATTATCTTGGCACAGGTCAAACATTGAGTTACTGCATACATTTTTAAACACAAATTACAATTATTTCAACATATGTGAGAAACCCCCAAAATATTTTGATATAATAAGTCAAAACTTTGAGAAAACAAATAATTCTTTTGTTGAAAGTTTGACATGATAAGTCAAAATCATGTCATACTGCTATCAAAAGAGGGGAAATAGTGGGTTAGTAAGTGTATGAGTGAGTGAGTGGTAAATGAGTGAGTGAAGGAGTGAGAGAGTGAGTGAGTGAGTGAACAACTAAGCGAGCTACAGAGCAAGCAAGTGAACGGCAGAGTGAGTGACCAAATGAGTGAGTGAGTGAAAGAGTGAGTGAATGAATGAGTGAGTGAGTGAAAGAGTGAGCAAGTGAATAAGAGAGTCAATCAGTTAGTAAGTGAGTGAAGGAGTGAATGAGTGAGCAACTAAGCGAGCGGCTGAGCAAGTGAGTGAATAAAAGAGTGAGCGACCAAGTGAGTGAGTGATTGAGTGAAAGAGTGAGTGAATGAGTGAGTGAGTGAGCAACTAAGCGAGCAGCTGAGCAAGTGAGTGAATAAAAGAGTGAGCGACCAAGTGAGTGAGTGAGTGAGTGATTGAGTGAATGAGTGAGTGAATGAGTGAGTGAGTGAGTGAGTGAATGAGTGAGTGAGTGAGTGAGCAACTAAGTGAGCAACTGAGCAAGTGAGTGAATAAGAGTGAGCGACCAAGTGAGTGAGTAAATGAGTGAGTGAGTGAGTGATTGAGTGAATGAGTGAGTGAATGAGTAAGTGAGTGAGTGAATGAATGAGTGAGTGAGTGAGTGAATGAGTGAGCAATTAAGCGAGCAGCTGAGCAAGTGAGTGAATAAAAGAGTGAGCGACCAAGTGAGTGAGTGAATGAGTGAGTGAGTGAGTGATTGAGTGAATGAGTGAGTGAATGAGTGAGTAAGTGAGTGATTGAGTGAATGAGTGAGTGAGCAACTAAGCGAGCAGCTGAGCAAATGAGTGAATAAAAGAGTGAGCGACCAAGTGAGTGAGTGAATGAGTGAGTGAGTGAATGAGTGAGTGAGTGAGTGAGTGAATGAGTAAGCAACTAAGCGAGCAGCTGAGCAAGTGAGTGAATAAAAGAGTGAGCGACCAAGTGAGTGAGTGAATGAGTGTGTGATTGAGTGAAATAGTAAGTGAAAAACTGAGTAAATGAGTGAGTGAGTAAGTAAACTAGACAATGAGAGAGTAAATCAGTAAATAAATACATAAGTAAATAATTTAGTGAAAGAGAGAGTGAATCAGGAAGTGAGTGAGTGAATGAGTGAGTGAGTGCAAAAAATAGTTCCTTCCGCCCAGAGCCATTTCTAAACATTTGGGGGGCCCTAAGCAACATCTCGGGGGTCCCCCCACACCCTGCATACCATATTGCATATTATTATATATGAGAATGGAATAATAATTAACATGTCATGAATTTTGAAAGTTTAATTTCAAAGTTGAAGCTTAACAAACGTTATTTTTTAAATCAAACTACATGTTGGTAGGGCCTCGGGGGTCCTAGCAAGAAACGACCCTGCGTCCTTCATCCTCACACGCATCTGCGCAACATTTGCGCAGCATCTGCTGCTCGACTATGGTGAACGCCCCCTCGTGTCTTTTTTTTCTCTGACGCTCCCGCAGATGTTAAAGATCAGCTCAGCGAGCGGCCGCCGGAGAGCCGGAGACGCACCTGCAGTGCTGCCATGTCTCCGTCTGCGCTAACGTAAAGGAAAACATGGGAGACCGAAACGAGCGAGGCCCCGCCACGCGCAGGCGGAGGACCACCATCTCCGGTGAGGCATCGGGGACGAGCGCGAGGCAGGCGAACGGGAGCAAGCCGGGCAGCCACGGACAGGGGGAGCAGGACGCAGCAGGGGCAGCGCGCAAACACAAGAGCAGCAATGACGGCTTTAAGGACAGACTCAGGTGAGGCGGGCGCGCGTTTGGAGCGCGGGTGAATGTGCGCAGGCAGCGGCTACAGGTAGCAGAGCGTCCACTCTGTGTGTCATACAGGACTAATCATGTGTCCACTCATTACAGCATTCAGGTGTTAGGGGTCATAAGCTTATACAGGTCAGAGAGAATCTATCTATCTATCTATCTATCTATCTATCTATCATAAAATATACAAAAAACATCACCTACCATAAAATCAGGGGTCGATTTAGTGATTCTGGGGCTTTACACTCTCAAAAAACATGGTTCTTTAAGGGTTCTTTAGTGAAGGGAATGGTTCTGTGCAGAACTATGAGCTCTATATAAACCCCTTAAATGCTTAAAGCGTTCCTTGAATGGTGAAATGGTTCTTCATATTGATGGAGAATGTGTTGTATATGGTTCTACAAGCACCAAAAAGGGTTCTACTGTTGTCACGATGTCAAGTTTGCAGCAATAGAAGGTGTTAAATAGAACCATTTTCAGAAGAATATGTTGTATATGGTTCTAGCTTCATAGAACCATATACAACATATTCTTCAACAATCTGAAGAACTATGTCATCATGCGAAGAACCATTTAAGCATGCAGATGGTTCTTTTGAGTGTTCATGGTTCTATATAGAACCGTTCTCTTTACTAAAGAACTCTTGTAGAACCATCTTCTTTAAAAGGCAGGAATGGGGCCCTCTGGATGATGCACGTTTTTAAATTAGTGACACAGCTGTCTGTACTGTAGAAATGATATCTTGGTGAGTGAAATCATCTTCAGTCTAGTCGTTATATCTAGTATTTCTCATTTTGAGATTGCTGTAAGAATATTATACGATTATTTAAATAACTTATAGACATTTTTATTAAAGTAGTTTTATTAAGTCAAATGATCTCAGTATGTTGGCAGATGATTTGGCCTGGTATTAAATTTATGGTTGCAACAAGCAAAATATCTGCCAGTGTAGTGAGATCATTTGGTACAGAGTAAGATAAAAGTAAAGTAATGAGTAGTGAGATTCATTTTAATTTCAGTTACGATTTTGGCTTCCAACGATTATGAAAACAAGACGATCAAGGTAAACAATTATTGTATTTTTTCTTTTATAATTTTTCTACAAGGTAATCCACTGTTAAAAGCAAGTTTTTCAGAATTTCAGTTCAGTAAATTCACGATTTTTTCCCAAGTCAGTGAGTCATTGTGTTAAATAATCATAATCTCAATATTGGCCAAAAAAAATAATCGGGATTATGATTTTTGCCATAATTGAGCAAAAAAAAATATTAAATCTAAAATAACTTCACCTACCATAAAATCAGGGGCCGATTTAGTGATTCTGGGGCTTCACACTCTCAAAAAAGATGGTTCTTTAAGGGTTCTTTAGTGAAGGGAATGGTTCTATGTAGAACCATGAGCTCTATATATAACCTTTAAATGCTTAAAGGGCTCCTTGAATGGTGAAATGGTTCTTCATATTGATGGAGAATGTGTTATATATGGTTCTACAAGCACCAAAAAGGGCTCTACTATCGTTGATTCTACTATCGATAATTGAGCAGCCCTAATATAATCCAATTACATTTTGAGAGTAATTAGTAACCAAGTAATTAATTAGGTTACTGAAGTAATTAGTAACTTGAATGGATCACCTTTTGAATAATTATCCCAAGTAATTATCCTCTGGAGTTACCTACACTAACACTGACCCTAGCATTATGTCCTGAGCCGGAGCAGCGCTCTGCTCTGACTGAAAAAACAGGACTGCTTTTGGAGTTTACAGCAAACCTTCTGCTTTTCCCCCTTGTTTTCATTTTCATTTCTTTGCTACACTTGTGTAACTTTTTTACATTTTCTTAATCAGAACTTCAACATGGTGGACCCAATAATGTAGATTATCGGTTAATACTGGCATGTCTATCGCAGTTGTATCATCACGTAACAGCATGGGAAAGTCCATTATCGCCGTGTCCAGGGGGAGGCTGCACTGAAGTTACTGAAACTAATCACTACGGTTTCAAATTTCAGATATTTTGGAATAGGTTATCATAGGATATTTAACAACAACACATACAGTATATCTTAATTGTATTTTCTTGGGGCCCTTGGCTCACGGGGGCCCTAGGCAGCTGCCCGACATTGCCAGTATGTTAAATTCAGCAGGTAAACAGTTATTGTGGATTAAAACGTGCAGAAGTTTGTTCTTTGTGGAACAAAGGGCTGAATCCTATTCCTGAAGATCTCCCACCCTGCAGAGTTTAGCTCCAACTCTAATCTATCACACCTGATCCAGGTAATGAAGGCCTCTGAATAATAGAGCCAGGTGTTGGATCTGAACTCTCCAGGACCAGGATTGGGCACCCCTGCTGTAGAGGATGTGTAACTTATTTTCACCTGGAAAATCAACAAAACATTTCATTTGACCAAACTTATGACAATAGATATTTTCCCAAATTCTTCAGTCATAGGTTAATGTGTGTGTGAGCATTTGTATATATATATATATATATATATATATATATATATATATATATATATATATTTATTTATATGGTAAACATGGCATGAACAGTGTAATGTGAGTGGAGCAGGGGTGCCCAAACTTTTTTGTCTCGGGAGGCTGAAGTGGACTAAGGGCCAAAAAGACAAAACAATGTACAAAGTAACATTATATTACATTTTATTGTTACTTAAATACTTATGTAAAATTATTACTACTTTATATAAATAAAATGTAATAAATTCTATACAGTATAAAAGTGTGTTTGATGAGGGGCAACATTCTGGGCCAACTCTAACATCTTCATGGACCAACTTTGGCCTGCAGGCCACACTTCAGGCAGCCCCTGACTGGTCAAACTATTAACAGTGGTAAACAGACAATAAAACTATCAGTAGCCAGAGAATTTTATTTTGATTGTAAAAATTAGCCTAAACTTTATTGTATATTATTATCATTGATTACAATCTATTCACACTCTCCAAAATCAATACACTTTCAGATTGATGACCCAAGACTGACCTGAGATAAGATGAAAATGTTCTGTTGTCACATTCCCCCATGTAACAAGTGCTGTACTTGAGCAACATCAGAGCACTGCTCAGAGTTTTCACAATACAAATAAATGTCTTTGGTTTTCCAAACAGGATTTCATCAGTTCTCGACAAATTTCAAATTGCACTGCAGATGTTTCAACATGAGCTTCCTCTACATCGACAGCTCTTGACCGAGCTGCAGGATAAACTGACTCCTTCAAGATTCTAGATGGTCCGTAATAAATTGTGAACATCTCTGATCTTATACTAAAACCCCTCGCTCTCTGTCTGCTTTAGTTGCCATCGGCTGCAGGAGTCCCTGCTCAGCTCAGAAAGTGGCTACAGTAACTACAGAGGGATCCTCAACTGGTGTGTGATCATGCTGGTAAGATCTCTCTATGGATTAGAAGCTGTTTAGATGTCTAAACTGGCATTCAAAAGGAGGATAATAAAGTAGGGGAGGGCAAAATAACACCCTGAGGATAAGAGTATCACTTGGGCACATAATACTTAAGTAAGTTTCATAAGTTAGAATAGACACAGATGCACCAGCAAACAGTAGCGCCACATTTAAAAAATGTTAGCAAAACCAATTAATACAACATTTTACATAAGACACGTGAGTACTTCCCCTTAAAGGGGAATTCCACCGAATTTTAAACATTTTCTGCATAATTCGGTGGTTGAGATGTAATCAAAACCATTCAGAGTGGTTTGATGTAAATGGTTCATTGTAGAGAAACTGGCTGGCTCCAGCTGACTGGATTTCTTTACAGTGGTGGTGATAGGAACCAGGGGTCACAGTTTCTGCAACACAAACATAACTGTTTTATTTACTATCCAAAACCCCCAGTGAACCTACAGGCACCTTCTGAGTTTTTATATGTAATGTTGGTAATGGTCAAAGAGTTGTAAGTCTGAAAAAAGCTTGTTTTCTTTGTGGACTACTTTGCATTGAAATGCATGGCATGCACCTCTCAACCATACATCATTTAAAAAATACATTTTAGTCCAAAAACTCATCTTAAAGCTATAATAAAACAAAAATCAGGCAGCAACCATTCTGAATAAAACCTTTGTGTGGTGTTTTAAGGATTAGACTGTTCAGACGTCTGGTTCCTATTACCACCACTATGACCAATTCTGACTTGGTGAGTTTCTCTAGAAAGAAACATTTCACATCAAACATCTCTGAATGACTTTAATACATATTGACCATTTAATTATGCAGAAATTATGAAAAATTGGTGGGATTCCCCTTTAAGTACTGACAATCCCCATTACATGCTTAGAAATGGTTATTGAGGTTTCATTATATCACCCACCATTACCATAAAGAGCCTTTAAATTCATGTTGTGAAGTGTTTGGGGCCTTTTTCTCTGGCAGGTATGATCACAATTATTATGCATAATTGTATATATCATTTTCTAATATGCTATTCTCGCTGTAGATTTGACCCAGTTTATCTGCCATTAGCCTAGTGTGCGAGAGAAATCATTTCTTGTTCAGTGCAGACGCCTGGCAGCCAACTGACAATAAACTGCGTCATTGCAGATCAAATGATGACAGTTTCAGGCTTTTATGGCACAGAGCAGTGTTTCCCAATCCTGCTCCCGGAGTAACCAGCACTGTACATTTTGTATTTTCTCTGCTCTAACAAACCGTAGCAATTACCACGAAGGGCTTAATAAAGGAGAATTCCACTGATTTTGTTTGGTCATTCAGAGTGTCAGAGCACCATTCTAGAGAAACTTAGGTCAAAATTTTGCACAGTAGTGGTGATAGGAACCAGACATCCAAAGCATTTAATGCCTGTAAAAGCTACATTACAGAAAGTAGTGTTAAGAAATGGCTATGATTGCACTGCCTGATGTCTGAGACATTGTTTTCCGATAGTTTTGAGATAAGCTTTTGGTCTATAACATATTTTTTTATCCATTCATGGAGGAAGGGTACATACAGAGTGTTGTAACACAAAATAGTCCCCATAGAAAACATATTTTATCTCAGTTTTATCACTCTTATCAATATACATGTAAACACTCAGAAGACATGTGGCTTCACCGGTCATTTATGGTTAGATTTGTGTTGTAGACATCATGATTTATGGTTCGTATCACCACCACTGTTAATAAAATAGAGTTGGTCAGTTTCTCTACAATGAACCATTTCACATCAAACCACTATGAATGACTTTCTCAGCCAATTAATTATACAGAAATTTGGAAACAAATGGTGGAATTCCCCGTGTACTTTTGCTGTGTTCTTTGGCTTCGGGAATCTAACTTCTACATTTCAACCACTGAATTATGAAGTGATCCTTAAATTAGGACTAGGGCCTGACCGATATATCATTTAGCAGATAAAATCAGCTGATATTGAGGTTTCACAAATTCATAAGTATCAACAGAAATCCCACAGATAAAGCACGGTTAATGTCTCTGTAAATTGTTGACAAAAACTGCGTTCAGGAACTTGTGCAAAGGTTACATTCTCAAGTTAATTTACAAGGTTATTTATAAATGGCTTGTTTTGAATGAATATCATTTAAGACTTAATAAGTTTCTCCTGTTTATTGGAGCTTATTAAATGTCACAACTGATATTTTGCTATTGACATATCAGTCAGTAAATCACTATTCAATACAAGTATTGGAGGCTGTTTCATTTTTGACCATACAAAATAATATCGACCAATATTATCCGGATTATCCGTTATTGGAAATTTCAGCTCTTTAAAATCGGCATCATGAAAAAATGTGCATATCAAATAGACAAAAAAGTGGAGCATTGCATGAAAAATACTGTCAAAAACCAAGAATACCAATAATTTTGCATTGCAGAAAATGCAATTAAACAGGACTAATTATAGTTTTAATAATTAATACTAGTTTTAATAATTAAAACTTTCTTTGTAGTGAAACATGCAGTTCAGTGTTCCAGAAGTGCTGACCATCAGAAAAGCACATTGTGATGTTATTTATCAAGATAAATATTGTCGTATTGCCCAGTCCTACTGCATAAGTGATGCCAATGCTGCAGTCCAGTGCTCCCTGTTACCTGACCCTGAGCATGGACCTGGCATTGGCGTTGACGTTTGGGAGGCATCACTCAGGGTTAATAATGGTTATTTTTATCTGTCCTATTCAACTCCCACCTTGGCGAATATTGGAGTCCCTCCACCTGGCAGAGCAGAGCTATGGGCTTCAAATACACATACACTGCTCTGCATTAGGACTGAGTGGTGAACAGGTGCTCTGTCATAGATATGAACGCTTTCCAACCTTGGTCCTGTTAATGCATATTTTAGTGTTTTTCCCACTTTAACACACCCATTTTAGACTCATGAAGGGCTTGTTAAACCTTAGAAGTCTACAGTAATTACTGTTGTTTTGCTGTCTAATTTAAATACATTCACTTACTTACACAATTACTTAGCTAATAAATTACATTTGCATTCAGTTTACATTCGCTGTGGATGGGTTTGAGTCTGCACATATGACATTTTTCCTATTAGGTTTAATTTGGATTCAAAGTCAAAGAACATGGCAGAAGTTAAAGGGAAATTCCATTTTTTTCAAATTTCTACATAATTCATAGGTTAATAAAGTCATTTAGAGTGGCTTAATATGAAACGGTTCACTGTGGACAAACTTACCGACTCATTTCTTTGCAGTGGTGGCGATCGGGGTTGTGATGTCTACAACACAAATAAAGCCATGCACTGTAGGTACAAAAGGACAGTAGGCAGATTTAGATACTTTAGAAAAATAAGAAGAATATATTACATGTATTATAATACATTTTTCTGCAAATTTTAAAGCACAAATTTTATTTACTTGCTAAAATTAAAATATTGAAAAAAGCAAAACCTAAAATATGCTAAATATGTTTCATTCTTTAGCATTAAAAGTGTTAAGTCCAGTTTTTCAGTGTTAAATCTGCAGATGTTTGCTCTGTAGAGAATGTGCTGACTTATTTTTACCTAGAACATCAACAAAACATGTAAAAAAATGTAAGTGTCCAAACTTTTGCCTGTACTTGTATATGAATAATTCAGGTATTTTTAGAGAAATTAACAGAATTTTCAAGCAGCTCACATTCCCATTAAAGAACATTAGCATGACCTTCAGTACAAAAGTACAAAGGTGACACATGAATACTTATACTGCAATATATGGCTTTATAATTGAAAAGAATAGTAAAGAGATGAAGAGATATGAGTCTGTGTCATCTGTAGATCTCAGTACTGATTATGAAATTAATCAGTATTCTGATATTGGCCATTTTGAATTAGTCATAACCTACAATCATAAAAGAAAAAACTAGGTAGGATCTCCAGGCCACAGCGCTGCAGTTTAGTATCTTCTTTGACAGATGTGGCTAAATAAGTGAATAAGTTGCTTGAAAAATAGCTCAATAGCCAATTAGCATTTCTCAAGATGCTAAACATTGATTGTCTTTTACATTGTGTAAACATTTCATGACAAATGGACTAAGAGAAATAGTCCAAAATGCCTTGGAATAAAGTCTTGTTACATTAATGTATATAACAGTTGACAAGGTTTTATCCTACTAGTATAAAGTTACTGTTTCAGAGATATCCAAGTCCGATATCAGAGAACTCCATATCCAAATTTAATTTATTACATCATCTTGCAAAGACAATAAGAAGGATATATGACTGCAGTTGGAGTGCTGATTTGATCTGGTAAGTGGGTGGGGACCCACTGAAGCTTACACACTGTGCTAGCACTACATTAAAGTTGCAGATTTCATTCATAAAACAAAGTACGCAGAGATAGCATATTTTTATGATAACTAATTAGAGGTGGATGATATGGCAAAATGTCATGTCATGAAGTTTTTTATGACACATGTCAATATTTTTTTGACTTCACATAAGTAAGCCCACATTTTAAACATAGAATCAAAAGTATGATTTCAGTTATTTGGATTCTAACATTTCACACACTGGGCTGCACTAAATCAAAGTAAACAGGATTAATTATGCTGTCTTTTTAGTCAAGTATGCGGTTGGTCCATCTTCTTTCAGTACTGACGATGTCCACGATACACTCAGAAAAGGATATTGTGACATATTGTGGTGTTATTTATCACTATAACAATCAACACTGTCATATTGCCCAGCTCTGTATCTAGTACTTTATATGTCAGTATAAAAACACAAAAATAAACAGTATTATTAACAGGAGTTGCATATGTGGACACTTTCTAGTGTAAATAAATAACAATCAAGTGATACTGAGACAAACAGAAGGTAGTGAAGTTTCCTGTTAGTGCTCTGCTGCACACTGACAGAGACTCTTGGCAAAGCTGAATATGTGCATGGTGTACTTTAACTTATGCAGTCACCCTCTGTTT